CATCGATACTGCGAGCCCCCGTCGGACCTGCGCAACCGACAAGGTCAAAGTATCCAGGGGCAGGCGGCGGGCGGGCGGGCGGGCCCGATCATCCGGGTTATCGCCGGCGGACCCTGCTATTATTCGGGTGAAGCACCGAACCATATGCAGTTGCGAGTTCAGTCGTTGTGAATATCGCCATCGGTGGATATCTTGTTTGGGCTACGAGGCGTGGGAAGGGTGTGCCGAAAGGGGGGGGCGGCCATGCGGGCGCTGCCACTGGGGCTTTATATCGAGCCCCATATGGGGCCACGAAGCGTGTGAGTGGTGTGCCGAAATGAGGCGGGGCCGCCGTGCGAACGCTGTCACTGGCCGACATGACTGTGGCGGACGCGCCCGGTCACACCCGCTGGGGCCTTCGGTGGAGCTCCCTCTGGGGCCACGAAGCGTGTAAGGGGTGTGCAGAGATTAGTGTGGCGGACGCATGTGGCCACACCCACCACACCCAGTGGAGCCTCAGGTGGAGTTGCCCATGGGGCCACGAAGCGTGTGAGGGGTGTGCCGAGATGAATGTGGCGGACGCGTTCGGCCACACCCACTGTGGCCTTCGGTGGAGCTCCCTCTGGGGCCACGAAGCGCGTGATGGGTGTGCCGAGATGAATGATGAATGCGGCGGGCGCGTGTGGCCACACCCACTGGGGCCATAGGTGGAGCCCCCCATTGGGCCACGAAATTGTGAACCGTGTTCTAAAATGAATGTGGCGGACGCGTGTGGCCACACCCACTGGGGCCTTAGGTTGAGCTCCCCATGGGGCCACAAAGTTTGTGAGTGGTGTGCCGAGATGAATGTGGCGGTCGCATGTGGCCACACCCACCACACCCACTAGGGCCTTAGGGAGAGTTTCCCTATGGGGCCACGAAGCGTGTGAGGGGTTTGCCGAGATGACTGTGGCGGACGCACCCGGTCACACCCACCCGGGCCTTCGGTGGAGCTCCCTCTGGGGCCACGAAGCGTGTGAGGGGTGAGCCGAATTGATTATTGCGGACGCAGGTGGCCACACCCAATGGGGTCTCAGGTAAAGCCCTATGGGGCCACGCAGCGTGTGAGGGGTGGGCCGAAATGAGTGTGGCAGAAGCGCGCAGCCACACCCACTGGGGCCTTCGGTGGAGCTCCCTCTGGGGCCACCAAGCGTGTGAGGGGTGTGTGCCAAGATGAGAGTGGCGGACGCAGGTGGCCACACCCACTGGGGCCTTAGGTGGAGCTCTCTATGGGGCAACGAAACGTGTGAGGGGTGTGCCGAGGTGAGTGTGGCGGACGCATGTGGCTACACGGGCCACAAAGCGTGTAAGGGGTGTGCAGAGATTAGTGTGGCGGACGCATGTGGCCACACCCACTGGGGCCTTAGGTGGAATTCCCCTATGGGGCCTCGAAGCGTTTGAGGGGTGTGCCGAGATGACTGTGCCGGACGCATGTGGCCACACCCACTGGGGCCTCAATAGATTGGGGTCCTGGAAGCGCTCTGGTACGCTTTCTGGTCGTAGCGGGCTTCCGATCTACTCGATGGTCCTGACGCTCTCGGCGTTGAGAGTGCTGGTGTCCGTGTAAGCGGTGTGGATGACGAGAGAGATGTTAGAGGTCGGCGCGAATTTCGGTGTGGTGGCCCAATCGCCCTCGTCGTCCAGTAGTCGTAGCCGTTGATGTCCCCCTCGCAGACACTCTCGGGTCAAAGGTCTCTCAGTTGCTCCATGTCCTGGTCGCGTGGCCTTGGTCCTGGCGGTCTGCAGACCCGCTGGTTCGAGCTGTCGGTTCCTGAACAGTTCCTTTAGCCAAGTCTGCGGTGTGAAACAGGAGCCGCTGGGTTCGATGGTGATGATGGACTGGGCCGGGGGACTGACGATGCCAGAAACTGCTTGCACTATCTAGGGCTTGCCGCCTATCTCTGTACTCTCTCATCTGTCCCAACGCGTCCCCATCCACACAATTCTCTGGCATGGGCTGGCCCTGTCTCACGCGGCGCATGCTCGCTTTTGTTCTATTGGCGAGAATTGTTGCCCGAGCTCTAGGTGAGTGGGCGCGCTGGTCAAGAAACTGCTCATGGCTTCCGTGGTCCAGTGGCTTTGTTTGTCGTTGTAGCTGTCCTGGTGTGTCCTGTCGCCAACGGTAAGCTTGGGAGGGGCATGCGGCAAAGCATGATTAGGCTGATCCGCCTCCGTACCCTGCCGCGTGGCAGGCTGGGGAGGGGTGGCATCGCATGGTACTTGGTCGTTGTGCTGTGGTCCTGCCTGCCGATGACGTGGTCCGTGCCGTGGCGAATCCTATGCGGATCCGTCGCTTGTCGCATCGTCGGCAGTGGGCTTAGTGACGGTCGCCTAAGAGCGTGGGGGCTGTCCCTCCTCCATGTCCTCACGCTGGCAGTAGGCTTAGGAGGGGTGAACACGGCATGAGTTCTTAGCCCCAGATGGGCGCCTCATGTCCCGACGCCGACAGCAGTCGTAAAGGCGGTCATCAGAGCTGGCGTGT